ACAACAACATAGTATTTATAAGTAAGAAGAAAACATTGAAGGTAATTTTGTAATTCAACAAATAAATAAATTTGTAATCATTAAAAAAATAAAATTAAAAATTAAGACTCGTTTAGCTTAAAAATGTTGGACAATAAGGGAATCACTCCAACGAAAAACTCAAGGGCCGATTAAATTACATTTGTAAGTTGAATGGACGTGTTAACTTATTATTACCTACACGTTGATGACAATTATCATGTTTTGCTTGAAAGGCCTTGGTTAAACAAACGTCATCTCTTGAAACTTACCATTAAATTGTAATAGCTGAATGGTTCATAAATGTATATAAAAAAATATATATAAAATTAAGTTACAACATTTTCATCATAACATAATGTTTATTAATTCAATATTTCGCCTTTTTTTTTTTTTTTTTTTTTTTTTGGTCCATTGTTGTAAATTTTCAGCTAAGAAAACACATTTGATTAAGCCAGTTACAAGAAGACACATCATGTTGCAATTATTTTGTCTTGCTGCAAATTCATGTGACAGATACACTGGATTCTGTTAACACATAAGAAATATTTGTTTTTTTAAATTTAATTTAATTTAAAAAAACAAAAAGAAAAGAGCCTAAACATGGTCACAATTACATAACCACTCACCACCACAAAAATAAATAAATTATAATTTATTAATATCGAAACAGTCTGACATAACCAGAAATTTAGAGATTTTATTACCTTATTTGAGAAAATGAATGAATGATCTCACATAATCTACAAAGTAAATTAGTTTAGTTGGATATATTACTCTGAACAACATAAACAAAAATAAATAAATAAATAAAAAAGAATCAATGAGCTAAAAGTAACATGAATAGTTTTAAAATTAGAAATAAACAATAAATGAAGAAGAATCTTGAAACGAGGCAGTTGATGAAGAAGTGAAACGCAGATTCGTGAGATGTAGAAGCAGCTCCGTAACCCTTGCCAGCGCCACCGTGTATTCTTCCAGGAGCTCCGCCATTATTGCCACTTTGATCATCTGCTTGAAGACTGAGACCAAGCCGAAAAGACCTTCAAATTCAAAGGTGGCGCCTAACAGTTTATGTATGTGTTTTGAAAGGCTTGCCGAAAGTTGAAAAATTAAGCCAAATTTATAAGCCAGTTGGATTGACCACTTTCTTCTAGTCTTTTATAATTTTATCTTTTAAGTATATACAAGATTAGGAAATAGGATTAGGTGTAAGATTATCATAAAAATAATTTTGATCATTTTTAGAAAGTAATTAATTGTTTAATAAATAAAAAATAATATTGATCCTAGGAAGAAAATATTGGTAATTTAACAATAAGCTTTTGTGTGCGATTACTTGCATTTGTGAAATCACAGTTTGAAGTATATTAATAAATATTAAAATGTAATCTTTATTAGGTGGTGTGGTGTGGCATGAAGCTATTGAATCTGGCTTTAAAGTCTTCATTGTTGGTGGATGTTTCGTGAAGTATGCTTATTCTATCTTGCGGCATAACCATTGCCACGTCATCAACTCTGTCATTCAACTGCAATAACGGATAATCTCTGTTTCTGCAACGTCATCTCCTGTATCGAAATAGAATATGGGGTTTGGAATGAATGTTACGATGCGGGACGTGTCTACATTTTCAAAGCAATAGCTCCAAACAAAAGCATATATAAATATAATTCATCACCTAACACACATGGACGAATTATTTTTCTCCCAAATACACAAGTCTAAAGAAACCTACAAGTAGTGGCCAAATTCAAAGAACAGAAATGAGAACAAAGAGACTAAAAGAGCCGGAATTAATTAAGCATGCAATTGTTTACAAATGAAACGACAAAATATGTTGTCAAATTTACACGCATTAATTCTTACTTCTAAATTCAAAATTCTTCATAAGGAATTAGATCTTTTGAAGACCTTTTTAAATGCTTTCCATTTGAAAGACTGAGCCCTAATTAGAGTCAGATAAGGCTTCGAATTCTTCGGAGGAGGTAGTGAAGGTGATTCAGATTTTTCCATTACAAAGTTATTTTCTTCATTCCAAAAACGTGTTTCTTTTCTCTTACTTCTCATTGTTTCCAAAACATCATATTTGTTGCATATACCCCACACTATAACCTTCTGTTGCTCATAATCCACATTTACTGAGTATATACCTGCCAATGCCACATGACAATAACAACTTATTGATAATACCCCTCATATATGATTAAAGAACAAAACTCCTCTTAGTTATAGAAATAGTAAAAATTAATTAACTAGTTTATAAATTACTACAAGGTAATTTTTTACTTAGCTGAATTTACCTTTAAGATGGGATAAGGTCTTCTTAACTTTCTTCTCACACCCATAAGAATATAAAGGTACCTTCAACTCCACATATTGTGCTTCCACATTCTTGCAAGCCGGAACTATTTGTAAGTTCGCCATTTGAACCTTATTCTATATATGAGTTCTCCTTATTGTTTCTGAACTTTGAACTATAAGTTTTTATTGATCGTGTAAAAGATTTAGCTCCCAAGCAAAGCCTTATATAACATTCTGTAAGTACATTAATCTTGGATTCCTCAGAAAACAAAGTCAGTGGCATCTTTTTTCCTTTTTCTTTTTCCTCCTTTACTTAGTTCATGACGGCTTGAGTTATAATTCAATATTGGTTTATGCTCAAAAGAAAACTTGACTATGGGAATTCTTGTTTTGGAGGGTTATGGATAATGAGTTGGATAAGTGCCAAAATGTGTCAGCATTTCTTTAGGTTAATCAAAAGTGCAATGAATCTTCTTTTCATGGGGAAGTGGATAATTTGGCTTGCATGTGGATTGTCTTTCTTATCAAAGAAGTTGCTTTTATGACATCGGAATTTGAAAAACGCCATTAGAGAAAATCTTAAAACAAGTTTTATTTAATTGATCAATCATCGTTTAAGCTTTCATTGGCTATTGTTGTCATGCATGCACATGCTTGCATAATTCTCTTGCCTTTTCATCAAGACTAGTGTCACTATGTTTCCCCTTGCTTTGGTATTACTAGACCTAGCAAAACGGGCGGGTGGGCCGAGTACGGGTCAAGTCTAAACGGGTGCAAATCTGACAGGTATGGGCCTAAAATGGGTCGATTTAAACGGGCCCAATATTTGGGACCTGCACCTTACCCTATGTGAGTATGGGTGGACCCGCGGATGCCGGTACTGTTCACTCCAGTTTTAGATTTTTGTAGTTATACCCCCAAATCTTCCTAAAATCTTGATTCTTGAGCAAAATTTGTCACCAACCAAATAGAAAAAAGAAACCCAAGTTTTCTCACCAACCAAACAGAAACCCAAAACCTAACAAAGAAAAAGATAAAAAAACTTTACCGATTGTCCTTTCATTCCCCATCAACCAAATAAACCCACATAAAAAAATCTGAAAAAAAAATTTACAGAAGAAAAGCAACAGCGGGCTGCTGGAGAATCGTGTTACAATGGTTTCCAAAAGAATACAAATGATTGACATTTGTTATCTACAGAACAATAAGAATAGAGCAAGAAGAGCAACCTTCAATGTTACTAGATTGTAGCCAAGGAGAAGCTAAAGACGCCAGAGAATCGACTCCAAGAATTGGAGTTGCTGAAGAGTGAAGAGTAAAGACGAAGGAGATGAGATCAAATCGGCGACGGTGATACACATACCTTGATGCGTCGACAGTGGAGACTACAAACGTGGCTGATAAGAAACGAACACAAGAGAAGCGGCGACAATGGAGTTAGGGATTTCAATGACGATGAGTTTGAGAGAAGGTTGATGAGAGATAGGGAGAGTGAGTTTGAGTTAGGGATTTTGTGATTTGGGGCAAAATGAAAAGGGAAAAGGGTTTTTTTTTTTTTTTTTTTAAAACAAACGGGTACCCGCTTGACCCGTTGGCAAAACAAGTCGGGTCGGGTACAGGTAGAAGAAAAACGGGTTCAATATTAAAGACCCACACCCTATATTTTTTATCCGGGTTTAGGATCGACCCGTGGGTCCAAACCCGTTTTGCTAGGTCTAGGTATTACCCTGAAACAAATTATATTTTTGTCATTAGAAAAACGAATTTGATTTCCTAGGTCAATTTTTTTTTTTTCATTCATTTCAATACTGTCAAAAGAGAAACAAAGAAAACACAACACAAACAAGAAAATTAATAATATTACGGGTCCAAGCATGGACAACCCACTTTGGTGACCTATTAAAAAAAAGTTCATTAATTTACTTTAGATTTTTGCTTTCATCATCTAGTATTTGTGTTAAATATTTGTATATCTGACATCACTTACTTATTTTTCTCTTATTTTATATTATATTATTTTGAATTTGTCCTTCCTAAAATTAATTACTGGATCAATCCCTAATCCAAACAAAACTAACAAAGAAAATACATCCTAGATCTTTAAATCCTTCAAATAAATAAACAAATAAAGATTCAAGTCCTATTGCTAGCAAAATCTCATAGAGTCCGTTTGGTTAGGGGGTATTTCACGTTACTTCAATAATGTCATCTTATATTATTTATATTACCATATTTAGTTGTTAATTAATATAAGATTACAGTAATCCTCCAATATACAAATAATAATCACTATTGGTTATATAGGTGGTAATCTGAATATCACCATTTTCTTAGGTATTCCAAGATTACTTGGTAATCTTAATTTTGTTACAGTTTTACCCCTAACAATTAAATTTTTTGGACAATAATACCTTTGTTTTGAAAACAGTTAACAAGAATATTCATAGACTATTTTATCCTTATTCACAATATTTTTAGGACATTATTACACTTTATTTTTAGGACATTATTACACTTGAACTTCCACCGAATTACCCAAGACAGATGGCTAGATATGGCCACCACCACCGAACGCCAACTGTCGTGGCTGGAACAATGCATAACCGATTGAATCTGGTTGGTTGTGTGCCAATATGACCATTTTTTGCCAGATCCATCAATTTGGTCAAAAACAATCAGAATAGATCTAACCATTTCTTGCCATCGATCTGGCCGAAAATGGCAAGATCGGTGCACGGACGGCCATATCTGGCCGGTTGTGCGCCGTTTAGACCATTACCGGCCGGTGATGGTGGCTAGCGGCCGACAATGGCTTGGGTGGGTGGGTGGGGATGATTTTGTTAAAATTTAAATTTTTATTGTGGCTCAGGTGTTTGAGCAAAATCTCAAATGTAGGTTGGTAAAAGAAATAATTCAAAAGCTAATAATAATATTATAATAGTATTAAAAAATAAAGGTAATTTAGTAATTTATATAAAACACCCACCAATATATTTCAATCTAGCTAAACATATTTAATATAGTATTTTCAATAATCTTTAAGATAATATATCTTTTTATTAATATAACATTACAAGTAATATAATATTCTCTGAACCAAATACACAGCTAAGATTATTGCTACGCAACAAGCCAACAAGTGACATCACAATAGATTTTAAATCTTTTCAAGAGTAAAAAATTAAGACGTTGTTGTGCAATTAATGTCATAATATGTCTTTAAATCTTTCTAAGAATAAAGATTCAAATCCTATTTCTACGCAATTTGCTATAGCCAAAGCCATAGGGCTTTTTCTATGCAACAAACGGAATTGTATTAGGCCTTTACAATTTTGATAGTTTTTGAAAGTACTGGAATAAAAATTCAGAGCATTTTAAATTTTTTGCATATGACCTATTGCTATGCCATATGGGATAGGGAAAGCCATTAAGGTTGTTAGAACACAAAGTGACATACCAATAAGTCTAAATATTTTTAGTTGAAAGAGTTAGAATGAGAGCTAGGATGATTAATAGTTTATTAGAATATTGGTACATTGACTAAAGGTTGCCAATTTCCGGGTTTAGGGACGGGTAGTTTTTTCCCCATCCCCACCCTTGGACACCAAACATCAACCCTAAACCCATCTCCATGAGGCCAATAAACTCGCACATAATAGGCTAAATCCATCCTCGTGCCCTTACCCATCCCTCCCCAAAAATTTCAATACATATATATCATGAAAAGAAATAAAATTAATAATAATTATAATACTCTTTAGAGGTGTATTGGATTATTATTGGGAAGTCTTTCGACTAATTATTTTTCATTGTATCATAGAGGAGAAAAAAACACTTTAAACGTTTTTAGAGACAAACATCATTTAAATTAAAAAACCATACCCAACATATATATTAAACAATTAATCAATACATTTATAACCATTTTCCCCAATTTCGATATATAAATGAAAAAAGAAAATTTATATAAGTCATATGTATATAACACATATATTTAATAAACTAAATGAAAAATTTTAATATATTATTAAATTATTAACCTGGGACGAGTAATCGGCCCCCGTATCCGTCCCGTTAAAGGGGACAAAAACTTTCCCCAACCCTGGGATTTTTTTGGGTAATTGTCATTCAGTGAGAGCGGATTTCTTCTACTATTTTAAAACCCAACCTGAGGGGAGCTGATCGAGTCCCAAGTTGACCAGTCAGTTGGATCGATGACATCATCATGATGATGTCAGCAATACAACATAAATTATAAACCTTAAAATTTTAAAAACTCAACACCACCATTCAATAACAATCCCAATATCTTGTTTTTTTTTTTCATCTGATTACAAATTAAATAACAAAATTAAAAAAGATAGTCACATAATAATTAATAACAAATCATTTGTTGTAAGTGTTTTTTCTTTTTACAGTCTCCAATTCTTTCTGATTTTCAGACCTTGAAAGCTTTGTGAAATAGTTCTTCTCCTAATTGAAAATCTGAAACCACATAAAAGCCACGCTCAAATAAGGAAAAGAAACTCCAGAACACATACTCATGCACCAACAATACAATTAAGAGCGTAATTCAGATACATAAAATCAATTCAGTATCAATTCAAGTATTACATACATAAGTCAATAAATTATTATAAATTTTTTTTGTCTCTCATTGAATCATTATTTCAATTTCATTACCTAGTTGCTCTTGTTATATTATGGTAGCCATTTATTTAGAATTTATTATAATATATATGGCAGTTATTTATTTAGAATTTATTATAATATATATGTATAATGTATCATATGTAATAGATTATGTATAATGTTATGTATTATTTAAAATATTAATGAGACATTATAATATATATCGTACAATTTATTTAGAATTTATTATAATAGATTATACATTATACATAATATGCTATAAAAAAAAATTATACGTTATACATTATACATAATATGCTATTATCCGTAATCATAATATTATATATTCATATGTTAATGCTTGTTACTTAATACAAAATGTATAATATTATACCATTTATATATAATATATTTACATATATGTATAATGTATCATAATTATAATTTTGATATTTTGATTCATTATAAATTAAAAAAAAAATTATAATGCAAAACCCCCAAACGAGGATTTCGGGGATTCCCTAAATTCCCCATTTGGGGATCGGGCC